CTGAACAGGAGCCAGCGCAGACGGAGCTTGGAGCGAGCCTGGCACACAGGGAAAGCATCAGCTCCTCGCAGGAGCACGGCAGTCACCTTTCTTTTTCCCATTTAAACAATCCTCTTTCCGTGCAGCAGCAGAGGGACTGGTGCACACCCTGGGACACTCATGTTCAGTCTTTTTTACTGAAGCGTCTTCAGATGCAGACTTCAGTCTTCCACTTTCCATAAGCAAGCATCTCAATAGAAAGGTATTAACAGCTCTCATGTGGTAAAGGAGGTAGAAAATAGACTTCAAGAGGCCAGAATTGTAAGTTTACCATACATGTGACTAGTTTTGTTTTGTTTTTGTTCTTGTTGTTTTTTTTAATCAATTAGCAAAGTGGTGGGATGTACAAAAGGCCTTGAGAGGAGGAATCTGTTAGCCTTCATCCTCCTCCTCCTCTTAGCTGTTTTCTCTAAATCTGCTGTACTTATCACTACAGCACTGAGTACTGCTCTCCTGCCTAGGGGCATGTAAGCTCATACACAAAGCATATAAGTTAATTACACACTTTTTATGGTATTTGCTCTCAGTAAAGTTTACAAAACAGAGAACCATGAACAGAAGGAAAAAAAAAAAAAAGAGAGAGAGAAACTTTGAAACAAGGTTAAGAGATCGAAATGAGCAAGCAACAAAAGTCCCACTGTTAAACTTCAAAAATACCCCGCAATTCTTCATGTTGTTAAGTGGTCTGAAATGCCCTCTGGCTGATGAGAAAAATTAAACATAAATGGGACATTTCCTGGAAAAGCATCTCGCCCATTAGCTAATATGTAACAGAGAGGCACTTCTCGCCATTCTTACAGGCCATGACTCTTTCCTCTCCTGCTGGTACTCACGGACAAAAGTTGTAGATCGCATCTTTTCTCTTATCCTAATGAGACAGTTTTCAACTGCAGACAGAAAATAACCATCCCAGCTCTGAGAATTACTACAGGTCTTCTGTTGTACACAGCATTTTACACTGGTGTCCTGGTTCCTAGTGATTCCCTCTTCCATATGCAGGTGTCTTAASGCAGCTAATGGAGCTCTGAATTTCTTTCTGGGAAACAGGCAGTTGGAAAGCTCTAACTTGCAGTAGCTCTAARCTTGTAGAAATCTTTTAATGGATCTGGCCCCAAGCTGATAACTTCACCCATTTTATGTTCTCAGTTTCCTTAAACTGATGTATATCATAAGAGCTCTTCACACTGACACAATCTGTGAGAAAAAATGACGCAAGTTTTACAATGTCTTGTAAGAAAATTATAAAACATAGGCAAAAAGTTATTGCGCTGTAAAAGATAACCTTTCCAATGTGTATTTAAGTCCACAGAGATACTGATGTGGATCTGCAAATAAAGAGAGGCTCCTGCATCTCCATAGCTGGACTCCAAGAAGATTGTTAGGATAAACTGGCAGACAGCCACTTTGCAGATGATCCATTGGCAGCTGAGCAGACATGAAGAGGTGTCCAGTTAAATGCTTGCACAGTGAAAAATGGCCATAAAAGGCTACTGATTTTTTTTAAGCAAGAAAAGAAACAAAAGTGTAAAGAAATTTCACTTCTAAAGCAAAAAATGGAGGGACATTAACACTAGAAATAAATCTCAAATGTGCAAAACCACTTTTTTTTTAGAACTGGTAAACCACCAAAGTATGAGTTTGGCACTGCATGCCTAATAGAAGCAATACTTCACTTGGAAAACACAGCTATTATTAGATCACCTTTCTGAGAAGGATGCAGAGCAGATGTTCCAAAATGAAACCATCGAATTATATAAAAGGAAAGAATGAGGAATTTGTCAAAAAAAAAACCCAAAACAAACAAACAAACAAAACAGAAGAAGTAGCAGAAGATCACATAATAGGCTTGGAATTCATTATGATTACTGACATTATAATCCATGTCAGGAAAGGTGTCTTGCAAGTAGCACTAATCAAAATATCTATTAAAGATGGAATCTAATGAATTGTTTTTTGAGATGGCTCTGTATTATAACATGTGGCTTGCTTATTCATATATATCATTATATCATGGTTGATATCTGTTTGAAGAACCAGGAGCTGGGAAAGCTCTTCATCTGCCTAAAGTTTCTGAAATGAGACTGTGCTGAACAGTGACCCCTTGTGAATTGCAAGATCAAGTGGAAACCAAGTGAAGAATGAGAGTTCCCTTAGCATCTGTGGGGCAGCAGTCTCAGTTTGTTCTCCCAATACAAAAAAAAATCCTAGTTGGATTGTATTAGTACAGCAGGAAACTGTCCTGATGATGTTAGCCCATTAAGCAGTTATCTAAGCAGTACTGATTTGCACTGTTCAGCCTGCATTTTCTTTCAGTTATTAGCAGTCACCTGCTAGAACATGTACAGGCAGGCAGAGTTTCTCCAGACTCTGCTCTTTTCACTCAGAACTTATTTTTAGGTGGCCTGCTTTGAGAAATGACTGTATGATATGGATAAGGATGAAGAACCTCATTGCAGAAGTTTCCAGATCATGATTTGGAATTTCCAGAATTGAGAAAAGCTCGTGAGATGGTGTCTGTAATGGTATACCATTAGACCTTTGTAAGACACTGTTGCCGTTAACTACCTAAGATGGTACTGGTATTATTGTAGGATAGGATAGGATAGGATAGGATAGGATAGGATAGGATAGGATAGGATAGGATAGGATAGGATAGGACAGGACAGGACAGGACAGGACAGGACAGAATGTCCTAACAAATTAAGATACCATGGGCTAAAAGAGGTTGTGTCCAAATCTATCACCCAGGAAGAGATAAACTCAAGAATTTCTCTCTTCTTCCCAGAGGACAGAAAGGACATCTATGAAGATCCAGGTTTCTATGAAGCACAATGAGGTCCTAAAATGGWGGACTAGCTGCAATTTATATATATAGGTGCATCCAGAGCATGTGAATAGAACTAATATTTACATAGCATGACTCCACAGTCATGAAGATCACGTAGTTACATTGTCYGGTTAGTTCTGCTGGACTACAAATGTAGTAAAATAAGCAACAAAACTATGGATTAACTGACACATACTAATATTCATTTTTTGTGTATCATTAATGCACTGTGGACTTGTAATTATATACCAAATACATATTTTACAGCAACTAAGATAATGTGATTGGAGACACTTAAAAAGGCACACAAACTGAAATTCCTAGTGTAAGTATTCACATTCTATTCACATTCTCCAGACTAGCAAGATCTTGCATATTTTTGAACTCTTTCATTGCCTACAGCAGGGATAAGACTTTCTTGATCAGAAGCCTAGAAAATAAATCTACAGCTTTAGTTTCTGTTTAAGATTTCAAGTTATATGTGTAAAGCTTCTGCAGAAGTCCTGGAGACACCTTCACTCCTAGGCTTTATGGAAGGTTGAACTTGGTTCAACCTTCCTATGGAAGGCTGAACGTAGCATTTAAGGAAAAGAATTAGGCAGCATCTTGCAGAAGCAGCAAGGTTAAACACTTGCGTTTACAAACCTTGTCTTTGTAAACCATGCCATATAACTCACTGTATCCTCTTACGGCTCACAAAGATAAAATTTACTGCAGTTATATCATGTAACATTTTACTGGCCTATATGTGAGTAAACTGAGTGTTTATAGTGAAAGTGGATAAACAAGCGGGGAAAGTGAGTAACAGGGAGCCCAAAGCTGTTCTGTAGTGATATCCACAGGAATCTGATTACTTCAGTTTTCCATTGCAAGAGAAGGGAAAATCCCTTCTTCTGCCAGCATGTTTGTCTCATTCAGCAAGAGAAGCAACAGGAAGATGGAAAGGGTCATTTACAACATGAGGGTAAGAGTGGCAGCTGATGGACTTTGGGCACTCAAGGAGGGATGCCCGGGTGTCCTGCCCAGCGCAGACAYGTCCCATCTGTGCAGCCCAGTCCAGCTCTGTGCTTTAGGACTGATGACATTGGGCAGGGGACACTTTGCTGTTCAGATTGCACGAAAGACAGTGGATTTGGCAGRCGGGAAACGGAAGGAGCAGCCCACAAGCACCATGCTGAGCTCTGTGTCAGCGGGACTGCCTGCCCACACGGAGGCCCCACAGGCAAATGAGTATTTCCAGGAATTCCAGACAGGCTTCCCAGTGTAGCCAGTACCACTGCAAGCCCCGTGAGGCTGCTCCCAGCCATGGCAAGTGAGAATACGGGCAAAAATTTTAACAGAAATTAAAATATATCAATCTTTATTGATACATTTGCTTCCAGGCAGACTTTCAGTGCCCAATTTAAAGCAGGCAGCCGCGCGGCGATGCCGAGGAGCGGTGGTCGCCTGCACGTGTGGTCTATGGCCGGAGACCCTGCTGGGCCTTCGCTCTCCTGACTCGGGAGCCGGCAAGCAGCAGGCCACGAACTGGGCTGCATTCGGACTCGGCATATCCCTAGGACCCGGCCTGCTGCACACTCCCTGTCAACGGCGACGTTTTTAATTAAGCTGATGGGTTTTTAAGGAAGCTGCAAGTTTGCTTTCGCTTTCAGCGGGCTCTTCCGTAGGGGAGGCTGCAGCTGCGCATCCCAACGGTTCTGTCTGGCTCCGCGGCTCCGCGGCTTTCGTTACTGTCCGTTATCCCGGCGCGAGCCCCGAAGCGCGTCCACGCGGAGCGCCGCGGGCAGCAGAGCCCTGCCTGGCAGCGCCGCCGCCGCGGGGCTTCCCCACGCGCCGCCGTGCGCGGCTGAGGGCCCCGCGCGCCCCGTAACGGCCGCCGCTCAACGGCCCCGCGCGCCCCGTAAC